CACGGTTCGATTCCCGGTCAAGGACACACGTCCGGGTTGCAGGCTCGATCCCCAGTGTGGGGTGTGCAGGAGGCAGCCCATCCATGACTCTCATCATGGATGTTTCTCTCTCTCTCCCTCTCCCTTTCTCTCTGAAATTAATAAAATATCTATTTTTAAAAATCCCATTCAAAGGCGGCAACTTCCGGAGACATTTTTGTTGTCACAATAGGATTGGGGTTGCCAGGCGCGGAGGGATGCTGAGTGTCTTGCAATGTATAAGACACGCCCACAACAAAGAATTATCTGGCCCCAAGTATCAACACGCAAGGCTACAGCAAGGTTTTGACTCCTCTCTGAAGACTTTTTTAAATGTCTCCAGGCCCCTGGGAGACAAAGATTCCCACACGCACCCACCACCAAAAAAAATCATCATTCCACGGAAATACCGTGACTATATTGAATGTTATCAAAAGATGTTCGGTTTCATAATTTTTCGCTCCAGGCCCAGAGAGGAGAAAACAACGCCAGCCTTTGTGTCGCAACACACACTTTCTAAAAGCTCCCGAATTGCCGAAACCGGTTTGGCTCGGTGGATAGAGCGTCGGCCTGCGGACTGAAAGGTCCCAGGTTCGATTCCGGTCAGGGGCATGTACCTGGGTTGCGGGCACATCTCCAGTGGGAGATGTGCAGGAGGCAGCTGGTCGATGTTTCTCTCTCATCGATGTTTCTAACTCTCTATCTCTCTCCTAATTTTTCGCTCCAGGCCCAGCGAGGAGAAAACAACGCCAGCCTTTGTGTCGCAACACACACTTTCTAAAAGCTCCCGAATCGCCAGGGAGGACGCTGGGAAATCAATAGCAATACATTGTTCCTATTGCGACTCCGTAGCAAGAATGCTGGCAATTTGTATTAAACACTGTCATATCCTTGCAAAACTATACTATTTCCACTTGATGCCCACCAGCCCGTGTCTGTTGTGATAATCAGGCTGTTAGGTACCAGATAAGATAACTATAATTTCATGTGAACTTTTTGCATTGCTTGCTGTCTTCTCATTGTCATCTGCCGTCCTCGGGGAAATCAAACTTAGTCTAGTGTGGGCTCCTCTAATAAACAGGCCAGAGGGAATCTACAACGGGAGGCAGTCTCTTCTAAATTCCCATTTCTTTCGGTTAAAAAATGCATTCAAGCCCCAGCCGGTGTGGCTCAGTGGATAGAGCATCAGCCTACGGACTGAAGGGTCCCAGGTTCGATTCCGGTCAAGGGCACATGCCCAGTAGGGGGTGTGCAGGAGGCAGCTGATCCATGATTCTCTCTCATCATGGATGTTTCTGTCTCTCTCTCCCTCTCCCTTCCTCTCTGAAATCAATACAAATATATTTTTTAAAGAAAGTTTTGTCTCTTTACTCCTGGCTCTTGGGAGGAAACTGCTCTAGCCCTGGAGAGTCTTGCTGATAGGAGTAGCTTTGTTCCCCGGGGACCTGGGGCCACAGTAGATAGCGTGTGCTCACAACATGATTCCGGTGGGGACCTTGGGACCTGTGGGATCGGCTCGACCTCTGGCGGGGCCGGCTGGTCAGGGCAGCCACAGAGGTGGTCAGCTCTGTCTGTGCAGCCGGCTCGGCTGGCAGCACTGTGTGCACGCTGTCACGTGATTGCTGCAGAAAAGGCTGTCCGCACAGCCCCCTGGGACAGGACAGCTGGGAGTCCCAGGCCAAGCCCTGTGCCCGGGACACTGCTTTCCTGTGGCTGATGTCACTGTCTCCTTTGGCTGCAATCAACCGGAAGTGGGAGTGTGACAATTTGCTGGGTCCTGGGAGTCCCTCGAGTGGATTATTGACCTGGGAGTGGGTTCTTTGATACAGTGGCAGAGGCGGGGAGTGGCAACAGAGGTCAAATGTCCCACAAAGCCTCCGATATTTACTCTCCAGCCCTGTCCAGAGAACGCTTGCCAACTCCTAGGTTAGCTAATATTTAGAGTAACATCTTGCTGTGAACTGATGTGGAGTAGGAATAAAATAAAATAAAAGACTTCTGTCGTCATCAGCATTTAACATTAGCAGCCTGGTATGAAGGAAGTTCATATTTCATCCGGAATGACTTAAGGCTGCTTTAAATGCTTGATCATCAATCTACGCTTCTTGTCTGCTCTATTACCTGCTCAGTCGCTACCGATTTAAAGCGATTCCAAACAAGCTGCGTGCTGGTATCCCGATAAGAAGAATGCACGGTGAGTGGGCCTCGGCAGAAACGCTTCCACTCAGGTTTGTGCTGATTAATTTTAAAAACTGAGAATTCGGGGTTGACTATGAATAGACATTTTCAATACACAGTTGATAGTCGCTTGATACACTCGTTACACAAGATCATCACTAGGGATTTTTTTTTTTAACCTCAATAAAATCTTTTTTCCTGTGCATTTAAAGAGAGCCTATTTTAGGCTGATGGAGCATGAGGGAACAATCAATCTCTGAACACACTTTTCTCCAATAAAAAAGAGAATATGTATTTTCCCCCCAGGAACAAAGCATGGGGGAGGGGGGTAGGAAACCCCTATGCTTTGTAACAGTGGTTCTCAACCTTCTGGCCCTTTAAATACAGTTCCTCATGTTGTGACCCAACCATAAAATTATTTTCGTTGCTACTTCATCACTATCATGTTGCTACTGTTATGAATCGTCATGTAAATATCTGATATGCAGGATGGTCTTAGGCGACCCCTGTGAAAGGGTCGTTCGACCGCCAAAGGGGTCCCGACGCACAGGTTGAGAACCGCTGCTTTATAATAATGCCTATTATGCAAACTCACCCGTGGCTCTGAAATAGCGCCCCCCCCCCTTATCTGCAGTTTCGCTTTCTGAGGTTTCAGTTATCTGCGGTCAACTGCAGCCCCAAAATATCGAATGGAAAATTCTAGAAATAAACAATTCGTAAGTTCTCCATTCCACCCAGGAAGTGACTCCTCCATTTGTCCGGTGACTCCACGTTCTGTACACTCCCACCTGTTACTCACTTAGTAGCCATCTTGGTTATCGGATCGCCCGCTGTGGCATCGCAAGGCTTGCGTTCAAGTTACCTTTATTTTTCTTCCTAATGGCCTCAAGGCACAGAGCACTGGTGCCGGCCATTCGGACAAGCCTCAGAGAAGCCGTAAGCGCTTCCTTTCAGGGAAGGTATGCGTGTATAGGAAAAATCACCGCGTATATAGAGTTACCATCCACGGTTTCAGGCATCCACGGGGGGTCTTTGAAGGCATGTCCCATGGATAAGGGGGGGCTACCCTAACTGAATTGCTTTGTGGCTTTTCCTCTCCACCTCTTCTAGGACGCATGCCTCATTCCTGCCCTTTATGCATCATTGCCATGAAAGCAGTTCCAGTAGGAAAAGTAAATGTTAGCTTTGTACTGCGCTACCCCTTGTTTTTGCTGGACACCAAAGGAGCAGATACTCAATTAACAGCTAACAGCTTCATCTTCCTGGGGCTCACACCGCTGAGAGACCCCGCTCGCTGAGGGCAGGGCGGCGAGCCTTCTTGGTGCATTTGGGCTCCTTTCATTCGTGGTTGCATTCAAATGACTGGCTGCCCTGGCTCAGCACTGATAGCTTATCAGTCTGCGCGCAGGCACACACACACACACACACCGGAACCTTCTGAGGCTAAGCTTGTTGTCTTGGTTTGTTTTCCAGTATTTACACACTTCCTTATTTGTTTTGTTTTGTTTTGAATCCTCCCCTGAGGATATTTTTCCATTGATTTTTAGGGAGAGTGGAAGGGAGGGGGAGAGAGAGGAACATCAATGTGAGAGACTCACATCAATTGGTTGCTTCCTGCACATGCCCCGGACCAGGGCCTGGGCCGGGGAGGAGCCTGTAACCAAGGTAAGTACGTGCCCTTGACCTGAATTGAACCTGGAAGCCTTTGGTCCGCAGGCCAACGCTCTACCCACTGAGCCACACTGGCCAGGGCTCACACACATTCTCTTATTGGGAAGCAACCGAATGCTTCTCAGCGATAGAAAAGTAGTTCTCAAAGAAGGGCTGCCCCACGAGACGCGGGGGCAGCTTCCGCTCGCTGCCCGAGGGGGCCCAGGCAGAGCTCAGCGGTCCCCTTACCTTTATGGAGGTGCTCGAGTCAAAGCGGAAGGACTTGGTCTGCCCGTTTTCCAGATAGACTTTCAACACATTTGGCATAAACAGAAGCGAATTGTCCTTAACAGTTTCCTGTTTGACAACAAAAGAGAGGGAGGGGTTAAAGTCAGGGGGATTATAATTCTGCTCTTCGCAATAGCCACGGATATCTACAATGTATCCGAACACAACATAAATAAAAACAAAAACCAAGTAAAGTCTCTGAGGCCAACCAAGGTGTCCCTTTGGTGATATCCAAGTGCAGTTGTTCATAGCAAAATCCTTTTCCGGCTACAAATAACTCAGTTGATTCAAAGAAAAGAACTTTTCCCATCAGAAGATCAATCAAATGGGGTTTTTAAAAAATATATTTTTTTTATTGATTTCAGAGAGGAAGGGAGAGGGAGAAACATTGATGATGAGAGAGAATCATGGATCGGCTGCCTCCTGCACGCCGCCTACTGGGGATCCAGCCCACAACCCAGGCATGTGCCCTTAACTGAGAATTGAACCCTGACCTCCTGGTTCATAGGTTGACACTCAACCACTGAGCCACACTGGCCGGGCTAGAGGAGTATTTTTAAATCGAGGTGTCCCACTGGAAAATGCCATTACAGAAATGGCTCCCCTGTACCTACGCCACAGGGTGTGGGTCAAGGCCAGGCTTTCTCAGAGCAGCACGTCTGGGCAGAAGGAGCCCCGGGCTGATGGTGTGCGATGCGATGCCTGCTGGTGGCCGGTAGGTCACGACAGTGAACCTCAAGCCTTGATCAGCTTCAAAGCTGAAGTTATTTTGTGAAACAATTTTTACTTCATTTAGGAAGATTTCCCCCAAACTCAAAGGAATGGGATAGTGTGTTAATGGAGTAGAACACTAAGTCTATAACAAACAGATCATAGTTTAAAGAACGTGCCCGACCAGCGTGGCTCAGTGGTTGAGCATCAAACCTGTGAACCAGGAGGTCACGGTTTGATTCCCGGTCAAGGGCACATGCCCTGGTTGCGGGCTCAATCCCCAATGGGGGGCGTGCAAGAGGCAGCTGATCCATGATTCTCTCTCATCATGGATGTTTCTATCTTTCTCCATCTCCCTTCCTCTCTGAAATCAATAAAAATATATTTAAAAAAGGAGGCATGCTGGATGAGCTCCAGGAATCCCTGGGTGAACTGTGTTGCTCACACGTGGTTGGCTGCGAAGTCACAGGAGTGAGGGGAAGTCAGTAGCTGTGCAACCCCACGCCCCCCGTTGGACAGATGAGGAAACGGAGGAGGTGTCCAGAGACTTGCTAATGCCCCCCCCCCCCCCCCCCAACAGAAAAACCACAAAAGCTTTTTAAATCGGAGGCGTCCACCCAAGCAGCTCTGTGGGGCACGATGCCCGTGACTAGAATACCTCTCTCTCTTCTCCAAGAGGCCTCACTGTTTTGTTATGTTTCAGCTCGACTGCAGTTAGACCGCGCGTTCCCGTCATGATTTGTGATCGCGTCGGACAGGGGGGTGATCTTACATTTTTTGATAAACGATTTGTAATCGGGAGTGAAAACAGATCCTCGCGTCGAGATGACAACAGGGCACATATGTCCTGGATAAAGGACCTCGCCGCGTGTTAAACACACACGATTCACCCTTGACAAGATATCTTGTCTTTACTAGGCCAGAGAC